CCCCCTCGCCGGCCCCCGGTCGCCTCCTGACCCTCCCGGCCCCGTCCGAGTCCAGGACCTGGCTGAGCTCCCTCGCGCCAGGTGTTCCTATCGCCTGCGGGTGGACAGACCTGGGGGCACAGAGAGTCGGGGGTCAGGAGGGGCCTCCGCAGCTCCCGGGGAGGCGGGGCCCGCGGCGGGCTTCCGACCGAGCCCCCCGGACGCGCCACCAAGGGGTTCCTGGACGCGGCCTGTCCCCCGGACCCCCGCGGCTCCCGGACTCACGGCGGATGGAGCTGCGGAAAGTCCCCTCCTCTTCATCAGGCTCTCCGGTCCTGGGCAGAGAGAGGCGGAGGGCACTCGGGGCGGAAAGGGGGACAGGCAGCCCAGCCCGGGAGCCCCCGGCTCAGGCTTCCCGTCCCAGACGGGGGCGAGCAGCAGGCTCGGGCCGCCAGGATCGGGAGGCCCCGCTCTGTGCGTGGCGAGGCGTCTCGGCAGGTCAACGGTGAGTGCCTCCGCGCATGCCGGGGCAGGGACTCGAGGTCGGCGGGGGAGGGACGGCCAAAGGCACCGGGCAGCCCGCCCGCCGCGAGTCGGCCCGGCTGGGCAGCCCCAGACTCCTCCCGCCCCCGGCTTCCGGCTGAGTGGACTTGGGCAAGGTGACACCACCTCCCCGTGCCTCGGTTTCCCCGTCTGTAAGCTGGGGTTAATGGCAGCGCCTCCCTCACAGAGGTGTTGCGAGCAGCGAGGGAAATAATTCACAATGAAACGGTATCGGCACGTGGTAGACACCCAGTGACTATTAGCTGTTGCTTATAATAGCATCTGTAATTGTTTCAGCGGAGGTTTCCATGCAGGGCTTGTGCTTGAGAATTGTATTTAAAGATGAATCAGAGAGCTGGGAGCCGGACTCCGAGCTAAACTGGGCCGCCTTGCGAGGTGATCTCATTTCACCGCCGCTCCTTCCCTGCACGTTGTCTTATCACGCTTTGTGATTTTCTCCGTGGGGCGGCTGGAACCCGCAGCCACCTGCCCCACGGGGCCGGGAGCTCGGCCAGGAAGGGCGGGAGGCTCTTCCATCGCGGGGTCCCAGGGCCGGGCTTGGGCCCTGGCACACAGTAGGTGCTCGGCACACAGTAGGTGCTCGGCCCACATTCGCGGAAGGGGAGGCGGCGGCGGGACTTCCCGCCTCGCCCGCAGCGCCCTGCTGGGGCGGAGGGGTGGGGGGCAGGCGAACGAGAGTCCGGGGGGCCTCTCACCTCTGCTGCTGGTTGAACTTGCAGCGGCATCT